CAAATCTAATTTATGGGTATACATTAGCGTATAATTATTATTTTTAATGATTGAAAATTAAATCTATGCAACAAGAGATCCATAGATCTGAGGCATGAGAGTAAATTATTTTATATTTTGCTGTAGCTTCCTAAATCAAAAGGCACTTCATTTCACATTATTTATAATATAAAAGAGAAGTTTTGCTAACCAGGAAAATAAAATCTATTTCTATAACTGTACATATTATTGGTCAAGTTTTTTAAAAGGATTCTTTAAAATGTCCTAGTAGTAATAACAATAATATCACTGGGCCTTTAAATTAATTTAAAATTTTTAAATGCCCAAATTAACTCAGCACTAGTATACTTGAAAGAGCAAATTAATATAAGCTTATTTTAATGTTTGCTGCTTTATGATAAGGATAAGTAATGTTTATATTCACAGAATATGTTAACATTTAAAACCTCTTTTAATTATGAGAACTACAACGATGTTGTGCAAAGACCAAAAATTATTGGACCTGAAATAATTAAAATGTGGAGACTCTGGTTTTGTTTTTCTTTTACATGAAGTATGTCTCCTTTGGCATTTGCCCTAACTTTTCTACAAATCCAAAAGGGTTATTTAGTAGATAACAAATGTCATGTAGACCACTAATGTAAATTGTCTCTATTCTGCTTTCTGCAACACTGAAATAGAAATTTTAACACGGAAAATTACTTCCTTCTATGTATTCAGTGAATCACTCTAAAATAGTATATGAGATTTTCCACTAAAATAGTATTCCATCCTAAACTTAGGAGATAAACAAGCAGAGAAGGCTTCTTTACCAACAACAACAAAAAAATGGTTAAAGATATTAAATCTATCTGATTCCAAAATAACCAAATCACTCTTGAAATTTTGTCTCTCTTTTAGTTTCCAGGCAAAATATCAGAATCATATTAGCTTACAATTTTCATTAGAAGTCTAGTTTAAAACACACTAACATTTACAAATATATCCTACAGAAGTCCCCTCACAAAATATCATCTATCAATCAGCCTAATTGAGGGTATATATCAGTGGGTGCTTGATAAATTTCAGTGGCAGATTGTTTTTAATGGCATCAATAAACTAGCTCTCATGTATATTTTTTCAACCTTCTACACACAGAAATTCTGAACATTTTAAATGTGCCATCATGAATGGTATAGTGACTATGTAGGAAAATATTATTTAAGGATGAAGTAAGTATCATGATGTCTGTAGCTTATTTCAAAATGATTCAGTGGAGAAAAATGTACATACAAATAGACACACATAGGTAGAGAAAAATTTGGTACATAAAGCATATATGGCTTATATGACAGATGATGTGTATGGATATTCATTATACTATTCTTTCAACTGTTTTGTATGGTTGAAAATTTTTATGTTTTAAAACATTTTAAAATTAGATTTTTACATCTCATTTGCTTATTCCTAAAAGTGGGTTTTTTGTTTAAGTTTTATTTGTAAAACATATTAAGTTAAAAACACAGAGAATCAATTAAAGAAGTACAAATTAGTAGTTAATAGTTGGTCATGGGAATGGGGAGCAGGGCAGAGGAAATGCAGTTAGCATTAATATGAGGGCTAGGTGGAGGGCCAGGGGAGGGAGGGAGTGATTGGGGAGATAGTTTTACAAACTGTATAGATGTCTAACCAATGTACTGGATACTTGAAACTAATATAAATAAATAAATTTTAAAAAACACACAGAGAATCAAGACTTCATTTTCCTAGAAATTACTTTTCATAGTTTATCAGGTGTTCTACATTTTCAATTTTCTTTACATTAAGTACTAATGTTTTCTATCAGAACTGGCGATTAATAATTAACATTACTAATTACATGAACTTAAGGAAATATGAACTCAAGGAAATTACTTAGGTTTTACAGAGCATGTTTTCCTTTTCCTCTCCATACTTTTCTGGACTTTCCTCAACATTCATTGTTACTAGACACTAGTTTCACTCACCTCTAGAAAATAATCAGGGAGCAGGGCCTATCATACTTAACACTATTACAAAGCCCGTGAGCACCAAAATTTGTAAGAAAGAAATTTTTCTTTAATGTGCCACATAAAAGTAACAGGGCATGTGTGTCTTACAGAAAATTATGAACTGGTCAGTTTTTTGCTTTGGGGTTTCTAATGGGTTTGTAGAAAGGGTAGTTGGTTATTGGTTATGTTTTTGTTTTTCAGTTTTAACGACGAGCTATAGAAGCCTCAGAAAATCTCAAGGATCCAGAGTAAAACTGAGAGAATGTTTTAAATTTAATCATAGTGTCCTCTCACTCTCCTCTCCAGAATTTCAGAACACGAACATTTTGTGTGTGGTCATACAAAACCCAGTAAAGCATCGGGGTATACACCTCCTGCCTCTAAAATTCCCATATTCCCTGTTGTACCTGCTGATTAAAACAAAGTTACTGAAAATTTCTATTCATCAATGCTCTAGTTAGATAATAATGACGAATTTTTCTAGGCATATTTTAATTTCAACAATAAATTTACCATCAAGAAATTAGAAAAACAAGCTTCTTATAAATGTAGATTCCACCAAAATGTCACACCTTCATTTGATGAATGCTTATTTAAAATTCTCTCTACTTTCATTACATGAAAATTCCTCCAAAATGTATGCTATTAAAATATCTAAATTTGGAAAAACATCTGGCCTGTCAAATTATTCGGGGGGCTTGTGGTTTTTAAGTACATTGTTTGAGATGGTGTATTTGGAAAGAATTCACTTATCATTTTCAGGCTTCACAGAGAACTAACCATGAAAACAAATGTATGTGATAGTTCACTGCTACCATAGAGAATCAATAGCCATCTATTTAATTTGCTGAGACAATGTAAATTAGTAACTTCCAGCCAGATGTGTGATATACACATCAAACAAACTGCAACCTGTTCATTATGAAAATCCTGTCAGCACACACAGAGCCACTTGATGACATTTTATCTAGAAGCAGTTTCCACATTTGCAGCTATAAAAATTGTCCTAAGAATTTTTATACCAAGAAAGGTCAAGAATTGAAACTGAGTCTCATAAAAAGGTAATCAACTTCAGCTTTTCATCTTGTATGCTTCTGTTTATTTCTATTTTCATTTAGAGGTATAAAACATTTGGAAAAATGTGTGCTGTGCTATTTTTCTTCTGTAAATCATTTATCCTCATTACATCTTTTTAATCTGTTGTAAAGCTGGTAGCCCAATCCTGCAGTTCTGAAGAAGTGTGTAAAGTGAAGAATGACAGAGTCAACAGAAGAAAGAAAATACATTTATCCAATGGAAAACAAAACAGAACATTTCAAAATGATTCCAAACATAAATTAAGTTTACCCATTGGGAGGTCTAACTTGCATTCTGATCATTTATATGGGTCCGTGTGACTATATACCCCGCTATTTGATAAAAAAATGATTGCTAACCACAGGCACCCACCAGAGAACAGAGTGTATGTATAATGCTTGCAATGTCTCAGACATACAAAGCACCTTCTTAAAGAATGTCCGTTTCCTTTCCATGGTAAGCAGACATAATTTTTCACTTTTTAATACTTAGGCTTCACAGAGCGGCTTATTTTATGAATTATGATTTGTCATTTTCTCTTATGTTTATTTTAATAATATCAAAAACTGCATTCATAAAATAGATGGTTTTGTTTCATGATACCGAAAATATTGCTGTTTTCTGCTCTGTATTAAAATCCACAGCCTTCATGCTATTACAAAAATCTAACAGTATTTATTTGAACACCGTTTACTAAAATGATAAAATAAAATGATTCTTCTTAATAACCAGCTATTATTCTTGAGTACTGAATTCTTATCTAAATTAAATTCATTTCCCAAGTCTATTGAATTAAATTTTCTTATTAAACAGGGCACAAAGTAAATAGTCTTATTGCCAAGTATAACATTTCCAACTACTACATTTTTAATTCGGTAATTTAAAAGAACTTGGAATGAATCCAGTCCTCATTGCCTATAGTAAAGTCTGATTACAAAATGCACCCCTTAACTAAATTCCTAATGTCTAAATAGCATTTCTATTAAGTGCCTGGTGTGTCAACTCTTCCAAAGTAAATAACTCTTGAGGTCCCCTGAAATCACAAGAATTTCAACTTCCAAAAAAGAAAAAAAAGAGAGAGAAACAGCAACTGCAAACACAAAAGGGTTCTTCATAAAGGCTTCAACCTTTCGACTTTCACAAACATTATACAGAACGTGCTTTCTTCACCGGCCACACACCAGGTCACGTGATCAGCCTGCAGGGCCACACGATAATTGTTTCTAGAAAGAATAAGTCTCGATTGCGGCTGCGGTAGCCGCCCAGCCAGCCAGCCGCACCTGCAGGACACACAGCGAGGCCGGCTCCTCACCTAGTGCTGCTGTCATATAACTCGCGTGCGGGGCCTGGGCGCCGGCCAAGACTTCCAGCATTAGTTCGGGTCCCTTTGCTTTCTGGAGGTTAAAGTCAGACCCTCTTGGTCACTTAAACTCACTTTGTGGTTCAAAGGAGAAAAAAAATCACTCTCAGAACTCTTAACTTTGATTGGAGACTCTGGTTAAAATTAAGAACTTCAAACCCAGATTTGAAAAAGTGAAACAGATGTCCTGTTTGTTATCCATAAATGGCTCCTTACGTTGGACTCTTTCCTTTCTCTTTTTTCCTTTATGCCGCATTAAATTTTATTTAATGCAGAGTTCCCTTAAAAGGTTAAAAGAGAGAGAGAGTAGAAAGCAAATATGGACTGTAGATAGAAAAACTCCTAAATCTTTCTCTAAAATATAACGAAGGAAGCCTCTTCATAAAGATAAAAGTGCTCAAACTGCCGTTTCCCAACGCAGGCAGCACTCGGAGTTAAAACCTGCTTCCCCTGTGGACCCCAGCCTCACCTAACATGGCAATGTCCGCCGCCTGCAGCCTCCTGGAGACCAGGAGCGCATGAAGTGGACGAATGGGTCCCAGACTTGCACTTACGTGAGGACGTAGTTGACACTGACGATACAGTGTGGCCTGGATGAGCGGCTGTTGTGCACGATGGTCGCATAGCTCTGCACCCATACCCAGCCGCCGTGCTTCGCCAGAAACCTGTAGTACTTGGTGGTCACTTGCCCCTTCACCAGCACTGTTGGAGAGACAGAAGGCAGCTGGTGGTGAACGAGCCTGCTTCTGATCTGCCCCCATGGAACCCCTGTCGGTGCGAGTGCTGGTCCCCCGCGGGTCCTAATTAAAGTCCGCTCAGGCAGGAGGGAGAGACATCGCGCATTTTCCCAAACCAATTGATTGTCCAGTTAATTTGCATTGAATCCTCAGTCCTTCATGTTTAGCAGGGGGGCGCTCTAAGTTGGGGGATTACCCCTGGAAGGTAGGCTCCGGGCAGCTCGCTCCCACGCTCACGTTCCCTGTCCCGGGAGACTAAGTTCAAAGCAAAGCAGTATATAAAGCCAGGCGAGAGATATGGATCTATGCGCATGAGCCAAGTGGGCTAGCCTCGCTTTTTCTCCCCATCTTTAGTGAGGTTTATGGGAGATGGGGTAGGGGGCAGCATATCAACAGGAGAATAAGACCTCTCCCGGGGGAACTGCACCTGGAAACTCCAAAACTCTCCGCGGGTGTGAGGGCCCGCGGAGAAACAAGGTGGGGCCCCGCAGCTGGGCGCAGGACCTCACCTACCACCACCACCACCGGGCTACGAGGACTCCCACCTGTCTGCTGGCTGGGGAGTTAAGTCACGCCCGCTCCCCTCCACCCCCACCTCCTTCACCACCGTACTCCGGTAAGCGCTGGGGTTGTGCGGGTGCCAGGCAGGGTGGTGCCTTACGCAGGTGGTGGGCGCAGCGCAGGTGGAAGGTGTCGCAGCCGTGCACGTGGTGGTACAGGGTCTTCTCAATCAGGTCCTGAGGTTCGTACCCCGTCAGCTCCGCCACTCTGTGGAGAGCAATCCCCGCGTGATGAGAGCGGGGTTCGGGGGTGCACCCTACCCCCAGAAAGCCACCTTAGACCTGGGTGCCCACCCTCACGTCGCAGGGCCCGCCGATTAGTCTCCTCATCTGCAAAATGGGCGCCTAAGTCCATGAGGAGCTCTCGATCATTGAACAGGGCCTCCCTCCTTCCAGCGGTGAGCCTCTCCCGCCCTGGCCACACACCTGGAGTCCAGGAAGATGAGCTTCATGTCCAGGCTGGCGCGGAACATGAACATGTTGCTGTGCAACTTGATTTCCGTGACGGCGCTGGGCGGCAGCGAGTGACCCACAGCCACAAGGCCCACATTCTGGTAGCAGCCATCGAAGGGGGACATGTCCAGGCTGTACTGGCGTATCTTCAGGTAGCCGCTGCAGTGAATGACCTACAACATAGGGTGACAGGGTGAGGCTCAGCCATTTAGTCAAGAAAGTTCCCCAAAAGGTGAGAAAGGATTAAAACCATAAGACTCATCTGTGCCACAAACACCATGTGAGCCATGCCCCAGCTCTCAAGTGTCCAAAGGTATTGCTCCAAGTGCTCCAAGGTATCTCAAGGAAATGACCACTCTGCCTCACCGAATTCACTTCGGGGGCTTATAAAAATACACAAAGCCCTGGACCCTGCCAACCCTAACGCATCAGAATCCCTGAAGCTGGGCCTTTGAACCTGCATATTTAATCTTATTAAACAGGGAAACCACGGATTGGATTTAAGGCTCTGGTTCTTAGCCTCTCTGGGGGTTAGAATCTGAAGCCATGTGTAAATTCCACGAATTCCCGAAGCAACTGAACGTTTCAGACCCTGGACACATCCCTAAGGCCCCTTATGGGCCCCAAATTAAGAGTCCCAGCCGCCAGCAGACTGTCTTAAAACGTAGTCTCCACGTGTTCACAAAGTTCAACGACCCTTGTGATGCATGCAGGGTGGTCCTCGCCACAGGAACTTCCTTCCAATGCTAGGTAGCTGCCAGAGGCTTGGCTCTTCCTTCTTAGTCTCGTACCTTGTAGCCGCCGCAGGTGAGGCCCGCGTTCCTCTTGGCCAACACGCACTTCATTCTCAGGAAGAAGGAGCGCTCTATCTCGTATTCTGAGAGAGAGGAGCAGAGGGAGGCGCAGGATGTGAGACGTGAGGTGTGGCACTACTATCTCTGCTATGGCTAATTGGGGACAAGCCACAAGCGGACCGTGATGCGCCCGAGTGTCACAGGCACGCGTCTGCCTTACCCTGAACAAAGTGAGAATGGTAGGGCTGATGGGCCGTGAGCACCGCTGTCATCTCGTCATGATCTGCTGGGTGGATGTATTCGTAAATGCTATTTCCGGTCAGTTCTACCTGTAAAGAGGAGGGTATCACTGTCTCTGAGGTGGTGGATGCCCCATGGGGGAAATGGAAGATTGGGCCAGGGATCCACAGGACTGTGGGGACAGGAATCAGAACTCCAGAGTAGGCCCTGAGTTCTAATTCCAGTTCTGCCTGCTACCTGTTGCAGCCTATCTATGCCTGGGATTCCTTGTCTATGAAAGGAAATAATTATAGTAATTATAAGAGTAGTAGTAGTAGATCCCTGGCAATGTTCTGGTTAAGACATCAGGACATAAGTATGTAACCCATTCCCACGGTGCCTGACTTATGTAGGGACTCAAAAACATAGCTGTTGTTTGGGTTTGGAATGGAAGTTAAAAGATAAGAGAAATGGAGAAAGAGATCCAGATTCCTGTGAGCTGAGATATTTCCAATCCCAGAAATGCACATACAAAACTTTGGGAAAGCCCTCCCACCCCTCACTTCCTGCCTCCAGCTCTGGACATAAATACTGAGGGCCAGAGGTGTCGACCACTCACCTACCTGAGAAAGACCCAGGTGGACCGAGGCTGTCTCTGAGATGTACATGATCTTTCCATCTGGGGCCACCACAAAGATGAAACCATCCAGGGTCTGAGGAGAGAGAAACAGAGTTGAATGGAGAGCCCTCTGGACCATACAGACAAATTGAGGTCGGGTGGCAGAAGTTAGAGATGCTCAGCCAGAAATGCAGAGAGATGAGGTAGAGAGGGGATGGCAGGAAATGGGGCATAGAAAACCAGCCATAGGAGTGCCTCTTTTGTTCATTTCAAATTTGTAAGCATCTGGGAATTGTGGCACACTGAAAGAGACCAAGAGGAAGTGATGCCATCCAAGATTCAAGATGCACCAAAATGGAGAAAGCAGATGTATCTGTCACACACACACACACACACACACACACACACACACACACACACACACATATTCTGGGAGGCGTGAATCATAGCCTGCTATAAGAGATGGGTTAGGTTCTTGGGGTAATGATCACTGAAAGAAACAGAGGTTTCCTGTCATTCTTGGAGGACTCCATAATGTCAGCGTCCTATAATGGAAGGAGTACTAACAGAGTTTGGGAAATAGCAGTTACTGGGTGATGTGAAAGGGCTGGCAATCTGAAAAATTGCAGACAGATGGCAGCTGGCCAGTGTTTCTGAAAAGGGTCCGGGAGAGGGGGATTTAGGAGATGAGAGGCTTTCCGAGCAGCAAGTCCATAGAATAGTGCAATAGTGTGATGTGTGTGTGTTTACACTGATTCATCAAACTGATGCATCAAGCTCTCCATGAAGGAAAGTCTTAGACTTGCACTGTCCCTTTATCTCTGTGAACAAGGCTTCAGTCAAGGCAGTGGAGACATAAGGATGAGTCAAATCCCGCTCTCAAGTAGCTGGAAGTCCAGCAGCGGCCTAAAGACTGACCTAAAGACAGATATAATGACCACACAGCTGACTAGACAGTGCTGTGGGGGCCTGGGGGCTGAGTGGCCAGAGGCATGGGGAAGAATCACAGAGAACTTAGAAGAGCTGTTTGAGCAGAGCCTTGAAGAGAAAGCTTGACCTGAAGAAGGGAGGAAGGGCATCCTAGGCAGAAGGATTGATGTGTCAAAGGCAGGGATTAGGGGAGGGCAGATCTGGTATAGTCAGATATGATCATTTTGGTGTACCAGAATGGAGCTGAGTGAGTCAGTGCTGGATTTTTGGAGAGTTTGAGATGTCAATCTGAGGAATTCAGAGATGCTCCTGTGGGAATCAGAGTTCCAGCAGAGGTTTCTAAGCAGGAGAATAGCATTCTTCGATGTGTGTGGTTTTTTGGTTTTTTATTTTTTTGGTGTTTTTTATTTTTGGTTTGTTTGTTTGTTTGTTTGTTTGTTTTTGGCAGAGTGTGGACAGTCACCCACAGGAGGTAAGAGTGAGGGATGAGGAGATTAGAGATGGTCGAGCCTAAACTTAAGTGGTCCTAAGGGAGATAGAGAGAAAGTAGAGTCCAAGTCAAAGATGGTTCTGGCTATGGAATTTATGGTGACAGAAAGAGAAGCTGAGACTGACTGTAATGATACCATTAACCAAGACTGAAAATTTAGGTAACCACAACGAGGCTTGTACGAGTGAAAGTCTGGAGGAGGATGATAATGAGTTCTTGTCCTGGAGATACTAGACTTTGGTGCATGCGGATTTCCATTTGGATGTGTCCAGCTGGCCATAGGAAATAAAGAAATAAAGGCCCAGAGCTGAGAAGGAGTGTCAGGACTGTAGAAACCAGCTGGCGTCATGCAAATGTGGGGAAAGGAGTTAAGGTGGTGATCAGGTGGCTGAGATCACCCAGGAGGCCTTGAAGCTGTGAGAGAAGAAGCAGAGCTGGAACCTTGGGGAAAAGGCCAGCATTTACAGGCAGACAGTGGTGGGAAAACCAGAGGAGTGAGCAGAGAGGGAGAAGAATCCAGGGAAGTACACTACTTTATAAACTGAGGGAGAGGGAGAATGTCATGTAAGCAATATCATCTCCATCAGGCCCAAAGGTCCCCTTCTCAGTGAGGTCCTCTCCCACCATCCCCATTTTAAATGGCACCACTCAAACACAGCCTTCCTCCTTCTCTTCTTATTCTTCTCCACAGCACCTATACCACCTGTTATACTACACAGTGTACCTGTGTGGGTTTGCAAGGCTACTCTCCTTAGAATGTAAACTCCATGAAAGTAGGACTTTCTGTAAGGCACACAGTTGGCCCTTCTACATTTGTGGAATGAACAAGGTCAGGTAGGATGAGAGATGAACATCTTATGCTATATATCAAAATGTGGTGGAGCCTGTGCTGAGCACATGGCTTGGGAGAGATGCCAGACTGCAGGGTTGTGGCAGTGAGGGAGGTGGGGTGAGTGATGGAAATTGAGGGAGTAATTAAGTCCTATGAGAAGTTTGGGATGAAGAGGAACAGACTGGGCAAAAGTCAGAGGGGAGAGGGGTTATTTGGGTTTTGTTCTCTTATTTATATTGATGAGGGAAATTAACTGGTAATATGGAAAGATTGGGAGGTCAGTTGTTGGGAGATAACTGATGGAAGTGGTCCCTGAGAAAGGGGACAGGGGGACAGCACCTTTCTAGTTAAATTCAAAAGTATGGAGGCCAGGCCTGCTAGAAAATACTCGATCAAGGCCTTTTTTTAACTCTATGAAACTAAAATTTCTTTGGCCTTTGGGATTGAGGAAGGGATGGAGTAGCAGTAGGACAGGAAAAGTTGTGGCACTCCACGGGATGCTGCTCAGGCTTAGCTCACCAGGAAGAAGCAGCTCAAATTCCTCCATGCTGCCTGCTTAGGTTTGAGGCTCCTATCTGAGGAGCTTGCAGTGGACTTGAATAATAAGGTGATGCAGGGTGGGAGACAAGTGTCAAGCCTAAAAATGCCAGCGGGAGTTTTACTATTTTAAATATTTGCTAGACGACTTAAGCGGGCAACGGGCATTTTAAAACGGTGTACACTGCAAACAACGCGGTAATGGGCGTCTGCACATTGGATAAACTCACTACCTGGGGAGGTGTATGTGTGTGGCTGAGGGTCTGTACAGGGTCTGGGTTGGCCGGGGGTTGTGGCGTATGGAGAGTGAGGAGAGAGCCCAGGAATTACATAGAGAGATGAAACGAGTTGCAGACGCAGCTGGATCCGGAATGTGTGAGCTTAAAGCATTGACGGGCATTTCTACCAGATTTCCCTATTTCCTGTGTAAATCCTTCATTTTGGACGGTTTTGTAGCCCGGCCTCAGCAGCTTGGTCTGGGGGCGCTGTGGTTCCCTGGGTCGAATGGTGTCAAATGGCGTCCCATCTCTGGGTTCAGCCGTCCTTACTGAGACCTTGTAGGGCTTCCTTCCAAACTCAAAGTGCCTATTGTCACCTCGCCTCCCTCTCTGCCTCTCGAGGCGCTATCTTCACCCAGTGAGGTTAAGAGCTAAATCTTTTTTAACTTTGGAGAAGCTGCGGGAAGGCCGCGTCTGGGCCGGACCCCAGGCGCGGGGCCAGGCACCCGAGACCTCGAAGCACATGCGCCGCCGGGAGGCCCGCGCCAGTACCTGGAGCAGATGAGAGCCCAATTCGCGGCCAACGTTGTCCAGGGGGCTGGTCCGACTTGAGTGGCCCCACGCCTCTCCGAGCCCTGTGGAGACACAGAGACACCCTTTAGCGATGGGACTCTGACCCATCTGGCAGTTTGAGACTAGTCTCGGACTTATGTCATACACTCAAGGTCGCACACTTGACCAGATGCCATTGGGGCTCCTCCACCCCTCACTCCCCACCTGGACAGCAAGGGATGGGAGCAGGTGAATTTTGGCCCTACCCCCTCAGCCTCTAAAGCGTTGAATGGAATTCAGACTCCCTCAACCGGAGGGGCTGGGGCTTCTCAGGGAGGGCAGGACCTGGCTGAGCAATTCAGTGGCAGGACCCAAAATGTCCCAGTCTGGGGGCAGCCTTGTCTGAAGGGATCCCCGATACTGCACCCCGGCGATAACCATTGCGTAGGTTCACTGGTGAGGGGTGAGGGACACTATTTCTCACCCAAAGTTTCAACATCATCCTTATCAGGAGGTCTAAGATGTTCACACATCCAGCGAATGTTGCTGTGCACCTGGAGTGACCTGAGGCTGAGGGCCAGGTCCAGCTGGTCCCTGGCGGGCTTTCTGATTGGCTGCGGGGCTCCCCAGCCATTTTCCTTCCCCCGGCCTCTGACTTTAATCCCTTTCAGAAAAATCCGTTTGCTTGAGGATGGTTTCCAGCAGCAACACCTGCGCAATCCTTCTTTCTCTACCTTTTCCCTTCTAACCCCAGCTTCATATATCCTAGACTCACGACATCCCTCAAAAACGCACAGCTTTTTTGAAGCCAGCTACTTTCAGGTGCTAACAACGTTTTAGCAATATTTCCATGACCTTCTGGATATACAGAATTAGTCAGTTTCTCTACTTTCCGGGTGTCATCCATTAACAAAGACAGCCCCTTCTTCTCCTTGATGCTATCATGTTAAGATCTTTCCAGGCTTTGCCACAAATCATTTTCCGGTGATGCCTAAACCGTAAAATTCTCAGATGTCTGCGGCTGATTTTTAAAAAATTAATGTGGAGCCTGCTATAGTACCTGTTTGCAGAAAGAAAATTAAAAATAAGGCAGAAGAAATTTGCCCAGACCGAGGTTAAACTACTTAACGGATAATATCGTTGAACAGTGTTGCTGTTGAAATTGATTTAGCTAAGTAAACTGTTTTATGCTTACACCATTAAACAAGATTTAACATGACCAAAAAAAAAAGGGGGGGGTGGTTTGCCGATTTACTGGGGTATGGGGCAAATTAGTATGAAGCACACAATGACAAAGACACTTGCATAGGGTCGGGGGCGGATCTTTCAGAATAAAACATGGAATTGGACTCTTAAAATGTGTTGGCCAGGAGCTGCTTCCTAAGTAAATGATCAAAACCCTGGTAACGAGTAACCGTGAGCGCCCCTTAAGCTCAAAACGGGTGTTTCTGGGTGTTTGCACATCTAAATAAATCTAACGATTTCCCCACCACTCTGCAAACACTGATGCTCCCCTCCTGCTCCAGGACTCTCCTCCCTCCCTCGTGTCTCCTCAACCTCTCCTGCCTCTTTAGCCCGCCCCAGTTTTCCTCCCCAGAGTGACTCCACTACCCTGAGCCCTGTGATCCTCCTAGACCATTCGGGAGGGGCTTGCCTATACATACCCCTTCGCCTGTCACGTTCCCTTCGCTCCTTCCGTCTCAGCCAAGCTATCCTCCTTGTTTTCTGGCTTGACGTGCTTTTTTTTTTTTTTTAAATCCCCGCTCACACATACCCATCCTGAAGAAATGGCAGGCAGGGTTGGTAAAGGAGACCACAATGGGGAAAGGGGAAAGGATCATGCTGGGAGAGCCGGGGATGCCGTGGGCCTAGCCCGGGCCTGAGAGCCCAAACCTCCTCTGGGGCGAGGGACCTGGCAATCCGGTACGCGGGGCTGACCGAAGCCGCGTAGTGTCTGGAATCAGGTCTTTTGCAGCTCCCCAAGGGTGCAAAGCTTGCACTTGGGGCCAACAAATGTCTTTATTCTAAAATTATGACGGTCCCCCAAAGCGTCTGAAAGACGTCGGAGATCGGCCTCCGGACCCGAATCATCTGAAAATATCTCAAACTGGGCTGGGGGTTAAGAACTGGTTCCGAACTCCGGCGCCTGCCTCGGCTGTTTGCCGCCTCGGGTTGCGGCCTCATTAGTATGCGCCTACGGGGGAAAATAAGACTTCCCCACTGGTTAATAAACAGCCGGCCTGCACAGTTAACAGGGGCCTCCCTCGCCCTCTCCTGTCCCCCCACCCCCACCTTTTGAGGAACCTTTTGCTTTCACGGAGCAGTGCCTTCTCTTTATGTTCCGGGTCGAAATCTCCGTCACACGGTTATGTCTGGGTTAATGTTTTATAAGGGACTGGCTGCCCTCATCTACCTGCCGGGCTTTCCTGACCTAATACTAGGGCTCAGCTCGCCCTTCAGCCTGCTCAGGACACCTCCTGAAATCCGGTCATGGGTTCCGCCTCCGAAAATCCAGGAGTGGGCCAGCTACCCCTCTCCCCGGACCCCATCACCTCCTGCCTGCGGTGACACGCTCCCGCACCCAGTTTCAGTTGGCGAGGGGAGTAAGCTGAGATTTCGTTTCTGCACTTGACCTACCGCAGAAAATTCGCAAATCCTTCGATTGTCTGTTTAAAATGAGGAGGAAACCAGCTCCCTTTGCGGCAGGATTACAGTGGGAACAAGATCTAAAGATTCTCTTGTAATTCGGTGAGGCCGAGGGAACGGGGTTTTGCAAAGGAGAAAAGGAGCTCTGTGAGGGAGGCGATAACTAAATCGGGTTTTAGACAAAAGGATTTTCCCCAGCTAAAGTGGCCGAAGACAAAAGAAAACATAATCTATTTTGGAAGATTTCCAAGATATGCTACATTAACCTTAGCAGATAAATTTTGCTTCTCCCCGCCCCCCTCTTCCCTTAAAGTCTGGTTTATCATATTTACATAAGTAGTATTACAAGGGATGTATCTATTATGGATCTAAAGGGCTAGCTCACATTTCATGTGAAAACCCCGGGCGAAGTTTCACTGTTGCTTTACCCTCAGTGCGCGGTGGAGCCATTTCCATTTAAATACCCCCTGACCCAAGGATTACCTCAATGGACTGACTGCATGGGTTTTGTAATTTCCTGAAAATGAGATTTCGATTTATAAAACAAGAAACCAATTAGTAACCAAATGAGGCGAAGTAGATCCACTAAAATTGACCTAATCCCACAGGCACAATTTAGGCCCGTTCTTGGCGAATGAATGATGAGCCACAGTCTAGCTTGAGCTCAAAGCATCATCCAGCTGTGTTATTGCAAGCAGCAAAAATAAATTGATCAAGCTTTTCCTTCGGAATGAATTTCATACCCTTGACAAAATATAGATTACAGACCCGGCATCATAGCCTCCTTCACTCACACAGGAAAAGGAGGAAGAGAAGAGCTTCTTCTACAATTCTTCCCTCCTCCCACGCCTTTTAATAAACAAATACTATCGCGATAGAAATGTGTCCTTGTAGTTGTTCCTGGGAATCTTCATTTCCCAGACGAATCGCTACGTGCCTTTTAGGCAACATGTTGGGGTCTGTAGGAGCTGTCCCATGACCTGACCACAACTTGGCGACCGAAGTGGAAAAAGCCCTTCGAGACCGTGCTTCTAATTTCCGTCCCCGAGGGATCTGTCTCAGCCACTTGGGTTTTCCGCAGGGCCCGATTTCCTCTCTGAGTGCTCACTTTCCAACCCTTTCCCTAAACCCAGCAACCAAGAGGCCTTCGGGCTCCGGGAGCCGCAGCGGCTGGGTTCTCTGGGGAAGAGAGGGAGGCAGTTTGGGCTCCCTTAGCCGAGACCGAACTCCTGGAGTCGCCAGTGGGTAGAGGCTGCTTCATGCACCTGGGCGTACCCACTCCCATCTCCAGCACTGGGGTCCACTCCATTCGCGGCCCTCTTCAGTCACCTGGCGGGTGTGGCTGACCTCCCAAGGGCGTCGGTGGACGCGCAGCAGCCTGGGCCCCGCAGCGTGTGTCTGCACTCAGCAGCACGGCAGTGCGTGCCCGTGCCCTACCCTGCCTGCCTCGGGTATCCCAGCCTGCGCTGCTGGAATCCACTAAAGTTAGTGTAAATCTGGGGTGGAGGCTCTTTATTGCCTTCGTTGTGCTCTGGCCCCTGAGCTAGGGCTTTCCGGTCGGGATCGAGCCTGCCGGCCAAGCTGGCTGCCAGTGGCGCCCGAGCCCGCCGAGAGAGAACGCGAACTGCAGGAACTAGAGACAGGCCGGGTTCAGCCAGGTCCCAACTAAACTGTGGGACGAAAATGCACGCGGGTTTGACAAGAGTGCCCTGCTTGGCGGCTAAAAGGGGTCAAGAGGTGTCGCCAGGACGCTGGGCCTTTGAGTGTGGCCGGGCGGGGCGATGCCACGATCCCGAAGCAGGCACCGGCGAGACGGACGTGGCTGCCTCGCGGCGTAGGCGTATCTCACGTCGGTTCTGCTTGGATCGAGACTCCAGCCGTTTGCACAACCGCTTGCTCGGGCGGGATCTAGGCTTAAGGGTTAGACGACAGCCGGTTCTTGGGGCAGTGGCCCAGGCAGCACTACGAACGGCGGGTGCACGAGGCAGGCGGGCGGAGACGTCCTCGAACTCTGGGCGGACAGTGATCTCCTACAGCAGAGTGAGGAGTCACCGTGCGGAGGCCTCTAGCTGCCGCACAGTGGGGTGCAGCCACCCGAGCGAAGGCAGGCGGGGTCTCAGACTGCGGCCTCGGGGAGAGAATGGGCCGCCCGGGGCGGACCTGGCGGGTCGGCCGCAACAACATGCTTCTCCCCGCTGCGTGCTTTGTCATGCGCGAGGCGTGGTAGAGGCTTCGACAAGGTCGCTGTTCCTGGTCTGGTCCTAGCCATCGAGGTCTAGCGACTTCGTTGCAGGAGCTGCCTGCGGGATGGAGCTACCTGCGGAAGGTTTCCTACGCTGTTCTCTGACGCGGTTTTAGTACTTTCTGATTAGCGGGCCCATTGCTAAATAATTGAAAGTTCCCATCCCCCAAACAAAAATTTAAATTCCATGGATCAGAGACTGATCATGGGTGGACAGCTAAAATCGTAATGCGTTAGCTGGGTCCAAACCTCATTCTCATGAGAAATACCTGGGCCGACAGAAAAATGAGGCAAGAATTCACGGGCTTGAATTCTGTTTGCATTTGTGTCTGCAAAAGCTAGAAGCTGCCAAGATTTCTACAGAATTGAAAAATAACTCCCGAGAAATCACGTTTTCCTCTGGAAAATTTAACCTAATTTTAGTTTCAGGTGGGTGATTGTACCCTGCTTAAAAGCATCTTGCCATAGCTTATGATTCTGTTTCTGTTGGGTTTTGTTGTTGTTGTCTTATTAGTGATCCCTCTGTTTAAAGAAAAAAAGGGGTTTTTTTCCCCCATTGATCTGATCTACAATTTCTAGCACATAAATCTACCTTGCAAATGCTGTGCATGGAGTTTAGTTCTGCACTCTACATTTTAAGTCAACATCAAAACTGGAATTAAACAGAGAAAACCAGCGTGGAGCATAAACTGTGCTTAAAGGCTTTTAAATGAGAAAAACTTCTGTAAGAAAATAAACATGGAAACCTAATGCTCAATCATTTCCCCAAGCAGCAAGGAAAACAGCCTTAAATCACCCATCCACGTGGGAAATGGGGCCTCTTTTTCTCTTTCAGTTCTCAGCCTCAAAAAAATATAAGGCGATTAAGGATTTCAATCTCGAGGTGAATATTATAAAAAGGGTCTGTGGAGATTTGTTTAATCGTCTCTGTCCTTCCAATCATTATAGAGACTCCTGCACAGTTACTAATTTCAATTCTGTGATTATTTTTATTTTCCCAAGGTATCTTGAGAATGAAATGGTAGTGTGATGTTACCCCGATTTTGAATGGCTATAAATTTGAAAACATGTCTAAGGTAATTCTGTAAGCCACTTCGCCTCCCAGTGAAAACTATTATATCTGGATAACAAATACATATTTCTTCTTAGTTAAATTTGTCCCATTTTGCACACAAATAAAGTCACATCATCTTTTTTTTTTTTAATCCCGTCTTTCAGCCTTTGATAACACCAAAGACGTATTTCTAGATGCCTTAACTTTTCCTTTGCAAGGCTTTTTTGGAATAGGCTATGTTGCCAATTGGGAGATATGCAGTTTAAATGATTTCACAGTAATCTTCCCTGAGTTTTTTTTTTTTTAACTATGAAATCTCCAATCTAATGCTTTATTCTTAATTATTGCAGGCATTTCTATCCCAGCCTTCTATTCTCTCTCCCATTTTTCTTCAACAGCTCGATTGTTCTACTCAGATAAATAAAAGCCGAAGTTTACCCACAGACAAGAAATCTACTAGAGCCTGGGGGAAAAAATGTATTCAGCAAATTCGGGAGGGGAATTAGCTATAATTTAGGATTTAAAAAATTTTCAAATATAGGTATGGACAATTTTTATTGATTTAAACCATTTGACATTACAAGGTATTACAAATGAAATGTATATGAGCAAAAACTGGAGTTTTACGTCATTATGCCTATAAGATGTTACCAGATGTACAATTATTTTAGATTATATGCCTTGCAAAATCCATGTTACATGTAATAGAATGCTTTCCATTATGAAATAACTATCCCATTTTAAAAATAAAATTTTTTTGAAGACCTACTATGTGCTAGGATGGTGGCAAGACAGACATAAAAATGAACTTTATCTTCAAATTCTTTTTACTTCTCATCGCTAAAAAAGATTACCTCCATATAGTGCTCAGTTTCTCCCACTGCCATGGACCCCTTCCCTTCAGTCAACAGCTGAACCTAAATTTGGCACCCTCTGCAGGTGGTGCCTGTTTCCACTTGTGAGTATATCACTCCTTTAAAAGCTGTTGGATTTTTGTTGTTGTTCTTTAATATTTTAAGGTCTGTGTTTGGGTTTTGAATTTTTGAAGCTAATCTTTTCTAAAAATTAAAACCTCATCCTAGGAGCCAGCTGTTCGGATGACCCTGTCTAACTCACCGGGTGGAGGATTCGAGTGAGTTATGAGCTCAACAGTAGCTGGAGAAATAAATGATGTGCCCAGAGTTCACACATCGTCCATCCCCTCCTCCCCATAAACTCACACTCATCCGCAGAAGGGAGAGGAGGGAGGAGCTCGGGGCCCAGAGTTCGGGAGGAAGGTGAGAGGCGCTGCAGAAAGCACAGTCGCCTTTAAAGTAGCCACAGGGGACCGACCTGGCCACCAACGAACTCCTGCGGGAATCCTCACCAGGACACTCTTTTAAAATAACAAGTTGGCTGAGTTTACTTTTTGTTCCTCCTATTTACTTATCGCGCGATTTATAATTTGTGGAGTTAGCACTTAAATAAGAAAGCTTGCTCTCTTAAAAGTAAAACCAAAACAAGACCAGCTCGCTCCCCTCCCGGCCGCGTCGCATGACACAGAGGAGCGCCCTGGCCCCGCGACTCCCCCGGCGCTCCGGTCCCTCTCTGTGCCCTCCCGGAAACGCCGACCCTCTATTCTCTTCCTCCGGCGATTACTCGCAGCCCCACAAGCAACACCATATGCTTCTTCTGATCAAACAGCGAGCGACATCGGCACCGATAATTGACGAGACCCGCTAGAAATCACGGAGAAAGGGAGCCCACTGAGATCGCAGGGGCTGACAAATCACTGCTAATAATCCTGTTAGGAACAGCGCGACCAGCGGAGTTCGCAATAGCTTTATTTTTATAAAGTAGGCGCTGACAGTATTAAAGACAACGAGATCTCTTTTTTAAACAAAAGGCAGTGTAGCATCACTGTAATTTTCCCACCAGCCGTTCTCAGCAGTTTGAATGGAAAGTATGGCTTTTAAATATGAGTTCTCCCTCCTTTTTTTTTCCTTCCTCCCTTCTTTCCCTTCCTTCCTTCCTCCCTCCTTCCTTCCTTCCTTCCTTCCTTTCTTTTTCTTTCTTTTCTTTCTTTTCTTTCTTTCTTTCTTTCTTTCTTTCTTTCTTTCTTTCTTTCTTTCTTTCTTTCTTTCTTTCTTTCTTTCTTTCTTTCTTTCTTTCTTTCTTTCTTTCTTTCTTTCTTTCTTTCTTTCTTTCTTTCTTTCTTTCTTTCTTTCTTTCTTTCTTTCTTTCTTTCTTTCTTTCTTTCTTTCTTTCTTTCTTTCTTTCTTTCTTTCTTTCTTTCTTTCTTTCTTTCTTTCTTTCTTTCTTTCTTTCTTTCTTTCTTTCTTTCTTTCTTTCTTTTTCTTTCCTTTCTTTCTTTCTTTTCTCTCTCTCTCTCTCTCTCTCTCTCTCTCTTTCTTTCTCTCTAAAAACTTTTCAGGTACTTTAGGTTTTTATTCCTTTCTTCCTGTGATTTCCAGGGGCAGATGAGATTATTCACATAACTGCTTTAAGACAAAACAACTCACACTACTTATAGTTTGAGGGTAAAAATAAACTATAATTTGAAAGTTTTCCTTTTAGTGTCCTTTTGAACTTTGGTTCAAATAATAACTTTTAGTCAAGATCAAGCAAAGTGAAACTCCAAGCCAAATGACTATTTTCTTCCCCTCTATTTCCTTGAGAGACAACAACAAACTCCAAACATCCAAAATCAACAATAACATAAACCTCTCCTGGTCAAATAAGAAGTTCTGGTTGGTAAATAAACAGGGTTCTTTCTCCTAGATTTTTTTTTTTTTGTATTCTCTCCTTTACATTTCTAAACGGTCCTCCCCCAAGGAAAGACATATCTAAAAAGTACATATTTTTAATCTGGCCATGTTCCTTGAATGTGGGTAAAGGAAAGGATGGAGAAGTGGAAGAGAGTCGTGTCCTCTTCCCAGTGAGTATAAGAGGTTTTATACATAAGAGTGTTTTGTGAAGGCTTTTCTGTCCTCACACAGTGAATCTTCATAATCTAAGTACACATTTTAAATCATGTCAACAGCTCAACTATTCTAACTTTTAGGCCTTATAAGACAATTTTTCCAGGATCTGCTTGCCAACCTGCCACCTAGAAGATATTTTCTAAGTAGGCTAGCCATCTTGATTCAATCTTATGTATTTGGGGGCTGGCCTATTATCTCAGAGATAGTATCAAGCCCAGACATGTGAATCATAAGCCTCAGAGTTAGTTTCAGAATCTGTGAATGTCTTGCAAACTCAAAATAAATTTGCTATATGCAGTCAAGAGACTGAGTAAATGTAGGATATATTTGTTCATGAATATGCTTGCTCCTCATTTGCAGAATTACAGACATACAGAGAAATAATTATCTGGCTTATTTAGCTCTTACGTACACGGGTCTATCTATACGTAGCAAAAATAAAAGAATTTGGCAGTGTTCCGGCTTTCTAATAGATACAATTCAAATGAGAGGAATAAAAAAAAAGAAAGTCTTGTTTGGATTAGTAGTACTTTCAATTGAGCCCAGTATCTGAAGTGTTGACAAAAGCACTGTTGGGCTGCTTCCCAACCAAACATATCTGATGGACTGAAGAAAAAGTATTAATGGGGAACTAGAAAGCCTCAAAGGCAAAGGGGATTCTATCAGAGAGGTCCTCAGTCAAGCAGCCATGCTAAACTTCCCTTTGCAGAGTGTATGTAAGTATGAATGTACTTCTCTGCCCAGTGGTGTGGGCTCACTCACTGGCTGGCAAATCCCCTAACCCTTCTGCCTTTGAAATTCCATCTGGGCAAAGTCACTTACCTTCTGGGAACACTACTCTCATTTTGAGATAGCTGGTCGTGAGTCTGATTATGGATGCTTTGTCCAGCTGCGAGGTGATAGCCGAGGGCAAAGGTAGTAATTTAGCCAGTTCATAAAATTCACTGTTTTCCTTCTCCCTCCTAGTCCGGGCAGCATTTTTGGACTTCTCTTTCATTGTGTCTCGTTCCCCCTTTCTTCTTACAACATGAGCTCCACAGATTCATCCAAAACCAAAAATAAACTTTCAATTAGAGATCATATTTGGCAAAAATATAAAGCATACTTTACATGAAGAGACTGAAGTCTTTGCTTCAGTGTATTGATGGTGGTAAAAGACCAACGCGGCGAACAAAATAATTTCTTTAAAAATACGGTATGCGAGTAGAGGAAAGTCGCTGATCCAGGGCAATCTGGGCAATTTTAAGAGTCTTCGGTTATCAAATACCGGCGAGACTCCTGAAGAGCCAGCCTTTTCTTCTGTTTCGCGCTGCGAATCCCGGTCCTCGAGAAATCGACATAATAATCCCCGACGTTTGCACTTCAGTCCCGTGGCATTTGAGGCGGCTCGGATCCCCTTTGGGGAGAACGGGAAAGCCGGACGACTCTTTCAGACCACTGTGAAGACAACAGCATCAGAGCGTAAGAGATCTGCGCCTCCACAATCACTTATGCCCTCGCCTGAATTCTGGAAAGGGCCTCATCGCGCCTCAGCTTTCCTCGGTGTTTTGTTTTGTTTTGTTTTAAATATGAAGAAATCAGCAGAGAAACTGAGCCCCTTGCAAATAATGCTCGCATTCCCTCACCCATGCCAGCCACATTCTCCAGCCCCCTAGGAAGTTGCCCAGACGACAAAACGCCAATTTTTGAAGACCCTTAGGAGATCCCTGGCCTCTGGTGCCCGTGCCCGCGCCGGAACCAGGCACACGTCCCAGGAAAGCAGGTTTCCACAAATCCAAATTCCTCCACAGCGCTTCGGCCGCCTTTCAGTCCTTCTACTTTGGCAGATCTGGAACTTGGTTACCTCTCTAACTAGGGTCTCAAGTCTCAAGGATTACTCAAAAAGTGGCACTTACACATCAAGTCCCTCGGGACTCCCGAGGCGACCCAGCGCACTCCCTGCCCAGCAGGGGCGGCAACACGCCGGGCACTGCAGCGCCAGGTTAACAGGTGGCACATTCGCGACAGCCCTCACAGGCACCGGGGGGTAGAATGCAGTCCGGCCCCTCTCCCTGAGCTGCAGAGCTGCGGTGCCGCCGGGCAGGCGCAGGTTGTCTTCCGCTTCACCTACCTTCAGTCCCCGCTGGTGGCAAAGGGTGCGGAGACGCCCGCCTCTTAATTGTATTCATGTCTAGGGTCCAACTAAGCAATTCCGCGGGCCTCTCCGCTCCCCACCGGCAGAGAGGAGCAGAGCGCGCCCTGGCTCCCTTTTCTCTCTCTTGGTTGTGAATTGGGGGAGGGGTGCGTGGGAGAAGGAGGGGGATGCAGGCTTTGGAACAAGTGAGGTGGTTTTAGAATCCTCCTCCTCGGTAGTTGCTACGAAGCCAGCACTATTCCTAATTGGAAGCCGAAAACGCCCCCCCTGTAACTTCTTTATACCTTAAGGGGCTTAGCTTCAACTTCACTCCCGGGCTCTCTCTCTCCCGCCTTCCCTTAATGCCACTCACAAACCTCCTCGCCTCCGATTGGCCCGGTGAGCCCCGGGGCGCGGCGCTCATTGGTCCACCGAGTTGAGTGACGCGAACACGCCCCGCACTGCTCACCGCGCGCCCCCGCTCCGGGCTCGCAGCCTTACTACCCGCGTGGCCGCTGCGTTCCTAAAGAGCCACGGGCACCCGTGTTGGCGCTGCCCGCAGCAGCTGCTGCTCCCGGCCTCCAGGGCCCTGCGGGCAAAATGTGCAGGAACCGCGCTTCCTGCTATCCTGGGAGTCGAGTGGCGAAGCAGTCAGTCCCAGCACCAACCCCGTAGTGCCAGAGGTGCCCGCGCCCGGGCCCGCGGCGGTCAGGCCAGGGGGCTCGGGCTCCAGGCTGGTGAGGTAGGGAGTCGCCCAGGCTGCGGGCGTGGTTCTTCCGAGGGCCGACACGGCGGCCACGCCCTTCCCGCGGGCGTGCGCGGGGCCCTTGGCGTGCTGGGGCCGATGTTGGGCTTTATTTTTCTTCTTCATGGCCTCTGAATCCACAGCGACACCAAATTCATCGCCAGAGGAGATAAATATACCTGTCTCTCAATCCCAAAGAGGAGCCTCTTTTTCAAAGTGGGTCGAGTTTGGGGCTGATTGACTCACCATGGAAAGCTCAATCGTGGAGTTTTCCTCTGGGGAGCAGATGGAGGCTAGGGGAAAGAAGTTACATGTCAGGCCAAAACTGAATTAGATATCTCACACATTCCGTTATCTTAAATGTCAGTGAAGATTTTTTGTTGGATTTTGTTTCAGAAAACAAAAGTCCAACATGAATATTCCTTACAGACGGGATACAGTACGCGTGAATGAATTTACGACATTCAATATTCCCCAACAGGAGCCGTTTAAACAAACGCTCGTAAGTACTACTGACAATTTCTTAGAGACCTTCTGATTTGAATCGCCTTCTCTCTGTCATCTGAGGAAAGACAAAAGATAGCAACGGGGAAAAGTTGACTTGTTGACCAACACAATTTTTGCTGCTTGCGAGTCACTCCCTACAGATGTGATTCCCCTCTTGTTTTTGATGCTGCTGGTGACCATGATTCAGTTCCCTGAGGTGCGCTTGGAGGCAGTTCTTTCCTTGGCCATAAAAGAGGGTGAGAACACCAGTAATGTCGCACTCGTCTACTCCTTTGTGGTGCTAATTGCCGCTGAGAAAACACATACTCTGAAGAGGAGTGTGTGCTATTCTGCTGAGGTTCAGAACAACTTTAAGAGTGTTTGTTCAAAAATACAGACATCTGCTACCTCCTTTGCCGCCCAATGGCAATAAGCTCGCAGAACGACAACGGGAGCTTTCTGGGGCTATTTACACATCTGGGAAACACCTGGCAAGAAGAAGTGAACATTCTGGATAGGAAGAAAGAATAAAAAAAGAAACAAGATTTTGTAGGTGTTTCAAAACTGGAATCCAGCTAATGGGCTATAAGAGTCATTTCTCCAGAGGCCGTAGCCACTCAGAGACCTGGCTCTGGGTGGTTTCAACCAAGTGATGCACTTTTAACAAGAGATGAGTAGGAATACAGAGATGAACTGTGGCTCCCTTATAGACAAGATTCCAGAAAGCCCAGATAAGATCAAGTAACTACTACATGTAAAGAGAGGGGGTTTGTGTTTGCAGAAGGGGAAAGAATCGTCCATGACCCTTCTTCTCCCTACCTCCAACCTGGACAGGTATTAGGAGAAAAAATGGAACTGACAGGCGAAACAATGACACTTTAGGGGTAAGAAGAGGTTTTCTATACCGACTGTGTTCTAGAAAGGATTTGCATTAAGTCTGCGGTTGCTCTAAACCCTCTCTTTATCTCAAACAAGTGCAGGTATTAGTGCTTTTCAGGGCTCTGAAACCTTTGTCCACGGCAGGAATTCTCTGGGGGATCAGGTGGTGCCGGGCTCCACATACAGAGTGCGTTTCACCTGGAAGAAATGCCGTGTTTTGCCTTCAGAAGCAAGATGGGCAAAATGAGTATGGAAGTCCTCACACCGAAAGCGATGTCCTGGAGAGCCAGGCGGGCTGTTCCAGCGTCCCAGTGAAGATCAGCTGTCGATGAACCGAGTAGATGTCGTTTAATAAACAAAGTGAATGCACGGCCATGTGGTGACGGCCCCCTCACTAAGTCCTCCGCACACAACTGTCTGAGCCGAGTTTACCCAGAGAGTGAATTAGCATGGCGACGTAACACCTGTTTTTCTAATCTTTGAACCTAGACTGGAGCCGGAATGTGGCTCCTTCACTCCTCCGCCCGGGCGCAGGGACTCGGCCTCACACCCTCCCCGCGACCCCGCCCGTCGGCCCCGCCCGCGCCTCCTGCCAGCCCCGGGCGTGAACGGGACCCTCAGGTGCCTCCCTGTGTTCTGGAATTTGTATTAGCCTTTAGCATGAGAAATTTTAAGTAAGTTTCTTGGGGCTAAAAGGCTAATCCTATCCATCTCTTTGTCAACATAAGGGAGAAAGCCCCAGAACGGAAAGAGACGGGTTCACTCGACCCACCAACACCAAACAGGAATCCTCAGGGCGTCTAGGCCTCGGTGCGTGCGGGTGTCTCAAAATGTAGCCCTCTATACGGCCCGGAACAGGATCCTAATGAGGGAAGAAACCGGAACCCATCCATAAACAAACATCTTGCTTTTCCACCACCACCTCCAAGGAGGGCAAACAGCCTAGAGTAACAGCGACATTGTGCCCCTGGGAGCCTCTTCCATCTCCGGGGCGACCCCGGATGCTACCGGCATGGAGCCCGCCCTGAACCAGTCAGGATACCACCACGTGCGGGAGCCCAAGGATCTAGTCCGAGAGCAAGGCGTGCCCGCCCTGGCGGATCCTAGGACACCTCGCCAGTATACCGGGAACCAAGAGGAGGTTGCCTCTGAGGATCACCTGACTCATTCCAACATCAGGCAAAGTCCAGACTCAAGAAGCTGAACCCTTGGTTTATAAAAGAACAAGGGAACGCCCAGCCGAATTCCGGTGCAAACCGCGGAGCCGGGTTTCAGCGCAGCCGGCCGAACCCCGGCGTGTTGTGGTGCCGGCCTCTGATTGGGCAAGGACTGATATTCTGCCTTTTGGCAACTCCTCTCTGCAGCCTGATGCTTGAGCATCTTATCAAAATTATAGTGATTTCTGTCTCCGCCCCCCCCATATACTTTCTTGTTTTTTACAGACTACTGACGACGCGCACGTTGTACATCACACATACGCACTTGTATGAGACACATAGGCACTGATTTTACACAGTGGCCAAGGGCAGGATGAAGGTGGTCACTTAAATATCTCAGTATGTTATATCTAGATGTTCACTCTCCACCACTGGAAAAGGAAATATTAATATCTAGGGCAATACTGACGTTTTACTTCTTCCATGTATATAAAGGAATCCTACTCTAGCTCCGTTTCATTACCAGATTTAGACGTTGTGATGTCCAGACAGAAACAAGAGCCCGTTACAACTTTGACCCGGTGGGGCCGGTGTGCTAGAAAACAAAGGCTAGGAGAAACCTCCAAAAAAAATCGGGCCATATTTAATATTTTTAAATTGCAGTAAATATTTTTTTGGTCAGGACGTTTTGGAGAGTGTAAGATATTTTGTGAAAACAAAACAAAAACAACCCTCTTCTGAGGTACTGCTTCTCAGGCACCTGCCTGAATTGACCATTGAAATGTCCAAAAAATTAACTTCAGTGGTTACACACACACACACACACACACACACACACACACACACACACACACACAGAGAAAAAAAAGGGAAGAAAGAAAATGCACCAACTTGAAAAACAAGAGTGGCAAATGCAAGTAAAGATACTATATACTTTCTCTAAATATTCTGGATAATATATTTTCCACACAGATTTTGAAACCTAGCCTAATATACCTTGAACTGGTCGCTGAGAAACCAAAGTGCTTCATAAACTGCACATTTTAAAACAACTGGAAAACTCTGATGCTGCTCATTCTGAGGGCAGGAAACAGTGGGTGCCTGCCGCTCCGGGCGTGGGCACTTTTCACACTTTTCCTTTCCAGAAATCGAGTTTTGGATGATGTATATGTGTAAATTCAGCAAAGCTGAGCACAGGAGCACAACCAGGTGTTCAAAATCTGAAGATTAACATTGTTTTGCGACTTCGGGCTGAAAAACACTTGGATTCCTAAAGCCAAATTATGCTCTGAGAGCACAGGATCTCATGCCAGGCCGGGGCTAGTGAGTGGGGGCGGGGTGGCCGGAAGCTTGCAGAGTGGTGTCAGTGGCCTGAAAAGGGTGAGGGGCATCATAATTGGGTAGATCCAGAGGGCATGTTCTTCACT